AACATTAGACAAACGTGTGATCTCTTGAACCATTGCCTAAATCACGAGGTGTTATGTGCTTCGTCGCTTTATGCCTCAAAAATCAATAGTTGTCAAGACGTTGGCAGAAATGTAGACGGCGACAGTGGCCAGTAGTAGACGGCGACTGTGGCCCGGTGGTAGACGGCGAATGTGGCCCAGTGGTAGACGGCGACTGTGGCCCAGTGGTAGACGGCGACTGTGGCCCAGTGGTAGACGGCGACTGTGGCCCGGTGGTAGACGGCGAATGTGGCCCAGTGGTAGACGGCGACTGTGGCCCAGTGGTAGACGGCGACTGTGGCCCGGTGGTAGACGGCGAATGTGGCCCAGTGGTAGACGGCGAATGTGGCCCAGTTGAGAAAGCGTTAGCTTAGAACCCACTACGGACGGTTTGATTTCTATAATACTTGTCTAGACTACCAGCTGACACATTTACTTTTAGTACAAACCTGGGTTAGATCGCCGACATTGTGGCTGCTGAGTTGGTGCCGCACTCATTCGAGAGTGGGCTCGAACCCCGCATGGGACACCAACATGTCCTTGTATATGTATATTACTAAAAGAAATATTATATGTAAATGGCATTTATAACATGTGACCACTTTGAGACAAAATGTATTCATTTTATAATGTTATGTATACTACAGCTATACATGTATCAATGTTTGTTCACATCTCAACTGCTCAGGGTTGTATTTCAGATACTGCTTTATCAAGCCACACATTAGTTATGCGGTCTAGAGACGAGAGTACTTTTGATCGACGTTAATGACGAGTCTTGAAACGTAATCGATAAGCACAATCATATAGCATACATAAAACATAACCAGAAAAAAATCAGGTCTCTTCATCTTCCTGTCAGGCAATCTACATCGAGAAATGTGTACTCTGAGACATTATGATTCTAGACTTTTGTCATTATGCAAAATGTTGGGGATAAAACCGCTAAGACTGGTAATATAAGAGGGAGTTGGTGATTGTTGGTTTACGTCATAACCGGTATCAGTTCGACAACAGGTCGTTAACAATCAGTCTGAAAGAGGTTCATATCTGGCAGTCATCTAAATATGTCGAGAAGCTAGTGCACTCACTCACTCACTCAATCAATCACTGGAAGGACACTCTCATTTATTCACTCACTCATTTATTCATTTGCCTACTCACCCACTCACTCACCTATTCACTCACTTACCCACAAACTCACTTATTCACTCACCCCCTCACTCACTCACCCACTAACTCACTCACTCCCTCTCTCCCTCACTCACTCACTGATTGACCTGCAGTGCAATGTGATCAAGTATAGCACCATTATGTTGCTGCTGGCTACTAGAACACTAACTGCGTTAGTTACAACAATATCAGGAAGTTCTGCATCCGTAACGGCATGTGGCGTGTGTTGTACCACACAGTTGACGCTCACATGGTGGACGCCGTCGTAACGTGTTGTCCTGTCGAGGCACTAGGTCCTGGAGCGGAAGGGGTTTATGAGTGATAAGGCTTATCAACTCAGCGTAGTAAACAAATGTTGACCAATATAGAGTGTGACTGGACGTCAATAGAGTGCAGTCAATGGAGGCCTTGCCAGGCAAACAGGAGAATGAAAACACCGGCAATGACCCACACCGGCAGGTTACGATACCACGTATACAACACATCCGGGCTTTAACGCCCGATCCATTCTCTGGCAATCACAGGTTCAAGTTATCCAACTCTCCCCTTGATTCCCTCGCGGCCTGTACATTTCCTCACGTCCCGAATGTAGATACCACGATTACACTCACGGACCTAAGCCTAGCATTATCTTGAGGGATTTCTATATTCCACGACAAGATGTATGTGCATGGCAAACTTCAGGTCTTCCGGAAGAATTGGGGTTTTTTAAATATAGTTTCTTGCCCGTGAGAACTGCATCACCAACACAAATTAACGCTATATTCTGATCTATCGGAATCAAATAAATCCCTCCACGAGGACTTTTCATCACAATACGCTATCTTTTACCGTTTTAGGGTCGTGTGGTGTTTATGGTCATCGACTATAAGCCATTTGATCGATCGAATGTACTCTTCCTGCTTCTGAATTATAGGTTGCTTTGACAATATAAATGTTCTCGTCCGACATCAGAGTACCACAAACACATCTGTTCTGTGACTAGGGAATATATCAGTATAACACAATAACCATATGGTCTGTGAAGAGGAGAAGGCAGACAATATAAACATTGCCATGGCAGGATGTATATATAGAAATATATCTACCATGAATATAGGCAGAACTTGAAGACAGATATTCTATGAATACAAAGTCAGAAGAATTGCAGTTGTTTATAAATAAAAACAGATTTGATGGAGCTGAGACGGCTCATGAATATGGACAATGTCGGGATATCTGCCATGCGTTATAAAAAAAGGACAAACATGTAAGATATGGATTTACTGCGATATGGAAAAAAGATTTGGAAGAGCTGTGATGGTTTATGAATGAGGACAGCGAGAGGAGAGCGACACCTGTCGTCCATAAGAACAAACTCAGACCAGTCTCAGTGTTCAGTGGATGTGGCCATCATCAAAAGAGAAAGATATGTGTTCTAATTTCGAGGACAATGCGGTTGTTTTGCGTCTACTCACATCAGAATACCAGTATAATGTGGAAAAAAACTTACAACATGAATAGTACCCCTGCTTCTACACATGTGAAAATCAAAGCACATATGCATCGTGTTGGTGGAACTGAATTCTTTTGTGCATTTTTACACAACTAACAATGTGTGTTTGGTCATGGCGTATGTCATGTAGTTATTCTAAGCTGGAAGTCATTAGCAGTTGAACACCATGTATGGCCAAACAGGTTCACATTCCTGTCCGAAGCTTCCACGCAGTTTGGACACATGAGGTTTTCGATGACAGTTTTATCGACAACGTCATTTTCTCGAATAACAGTTACGGGGAAATGTATAAAGCTGGGCAATTATTCTCTTTTCCTCACCTTATGAAACTGTTTTTTCCAAATGGCTCAGGTTGTATACATTCCTGTCCTACATGCCCACGTACAATCGTCTTTAGCAGCAAAACGTCTTCACTTTGTGTACATACCCTCGAATGTGTTCAGCCCATTTCTGGTGTCCCCCGCCGTGATATTGCTGGATTATTGCTAAAAGCGGCGTAAAACCAAACTCACTCACTCACTCACATACCCTCGACCATTCAGTTCGTCATTTTCCCGCATGTCATTATAATATATACTCTGAAGCGATCTTCCTTAGCTTGATGATAACCCGAAATACTAAATATGACAATTTTAGCCATCCATTCAAATCACACTCACGGGTGAAATGAGTTCTGTGCTCTTGGAGAGAGAGGAGCGAAGAAGGAAGGAATGAATGAATGGTAAGTTCATTTCAATGTGTACATATATTTATTCCACGTTTACTTTTAGATATGCACTTACTCATTCTTAATCATCCCACAATGCAACAAGTATACAAAATGTGATGGTTACACTTAAACCTGAACGTAGAACAGTCCTCCAGCCGGCTCACGCAACAATACCAAAATAGTCCTGTTCCCAACCCTTCCCGTGAGACAGAACTGTTCATTCACTGTTCCGTGACCCCAACTCGATCTGCACTGTGTCTACTCACGGTAGCCACTTATTGTTGCCGTATGCGGTCACGTGTTGGACATTCCACGTAGTATTGGAATCACGTGTGTACTGGGCTCCGTCTTAATACCAAAAGCGTTACAGGGTGTGTGTACATAAAACGGTGACACATGCAAGAACACTGAACATAAACCGTCATATTTATTAATCAATGAAATGGTATGAGAATGGTAAATGATAATCAGTTACGGTAAAAACATATATATGTACATAGCATACACTGGCAAAAACATATATATGTACATATATATGTACATAGCTGGCAAAACATATATATGACCGTTCATAATTTATATATATGGCTAGACTGGGGCAGGATGATGATTTTAAGGGGGTAGGGGAGGGGGCTCACCCATTTTGTTCGCGGGTTTCCTAAAACACGTTTTCTGCCGAAATCGCCGATGCGCGACACTTACCGGTTGTTTACAACACCGACTGGTAACTAGGAAGTGGACCAAGTCTGTGAGTGATCAAAATCTTGCAGTGCCACGAATATTGGGGAGTTTATACCAACTTTCCCGCCCTTTCCGGCAGGATTGCTCATACATTCAATTACGTTAATTCCTGGTAATACCGCTAGAATGGGAGAATCCTCGTTTATCACCGGGCTCACGAGTGGTAATTCACATGATGGATCTAGCAGCTGATAGATGTAGATGATAGAGGAGAAGGCCCTTCATTTAAAAACAACAAGCATCCATACGATAAGAATTGTTTGTGTTATTTTTTCAGCCGATATCCGTAAGTACCGCGAGAATAGGAAACGCCTTCCTACAAGCTTCTCCTGTCATCATTACGCGAAAATCAACAAAATCTAAGGTAACAGGAGTTGTCTCCCTTGTATCACCATTTCTGAAACCTAACTACGGACAAAATAATTTTATATGTCTTCTGAAGTTTCCGGTGTTCTTTAAAGAATACATTTTGCATGATGTTTGAAAGCCTCGACCCAATTTTACAGTAGATTTCATGAATACATTTGTTTGTTTGACTGCTTAGGAAACTACGATTTCTATAACATAATATACACTGGTGTACGTTTCCTGCGTCTATGACAACAACAAAACGAATGTATTTTCCCCTGAAAACATTACATCCTTGATCATGTAAATAACATAGAAACAGCTGCATAACAATAAGAAAGGATGCACAGAAACACATAAACACAGTTATTTCTGGAATCAACGACAAGTAACAGCTGTGAATACCCTGCGGAAACTCAACTATATATACATAGAGACGTACAGCCGGAAATATTACAGACACGGTGCTTGGGGAGTCTCCATCTTAAATGCCAAATATGACGTCAAAAATGGAATTCCCCATGCTATTAACTACACCATGCGTTAACATAAGGTGCATCGCCTTTTATAGATGCATCGGAACGCATTTAAAATTTGGTGTGAGCGTGTATTTTAATAAAAGAAAAACGCGATGTGCGGAGGTTTTGACGTGTAACATCACAACGCAGTGCCAGTAATGCCTTATCAGAGGTAAGGTTACTCTGTGTTAACAATCAAACCAGGTATTTGTCCGATTTCGACAGTCGTGCCATTGTGGCTGCGTTCACAGTTAAAGAACTTGAACATCATGTCGTCGAGAAGTACTGTATGGTTGCCATGGGTACCCTGGAAGCAGGGCTCGCCTCTCACGTTCACCAGCAGCGTGTATACCCTCTTGCACTCTATCCGGACTGGGGTCGGGAAGGGGAGCTCATAGTACTTGTCGTTGGGATTAACGTCAACCTCCACCTCCATCAAACTTCCTTTCATGACCTTCCCTTCATCATCCTCAACCCTTGCTCGGACATAGTACTGACCTCGGACGTAGCGAGATGGACCGAACAGAAGAAAACCTATCAACAGGAAGTCGTGATCGCAGCCGAAGCCTATGGCGTCGTCCAACTGCCCATCACACATCCACGACAACATTTCATCCCGAGTTGAGAAGCGCAAGAGGTTATGGTCCAGCAGGACCTCCTTCTTCTTCTTCTTTTTCCCCTTGTCTTTCTTTTTGTCCGCTGGTTTCTTCTCGTCCTTGGGTGTTTCTTTCTTTCCCTTCTTGGGGTCCGCTTCAGGTTCTACTATAATAGGTGGCAGCTCCATTCGGGGCTCTGGGGGTTGTGTCAAATCTATTACCCCTTCTACCTTTGGTTCTTCGTACATGTCCGGACGGACAAACGTACCCTTCCTTTCTTCAGTGATGAAGGGCTTTGCTCCAACTTCCGGTATGATATGGTACTGAAGTACGGTGTTTGTTTCAACATCATTAAGAACACCGAAAGGGCTCACCTTTTGCACAAATATCTTTTTCTCTATCAGAGGAAACCTGATGCTATAAATGGCGTTTCCAAGGACGTCTCTGCGGCCTTCAGGCGTGATGTCTTTGCCGTGGCGTTCCAGCTCACACTCAGACCAGTACAGGGCGCCAAAGAATGCGACATCTTCAGGTGCGTTCAGGTCATCGGAGGCTAAAACCATTGAGAGACATTCGTGGCAGAGCTCCCCGACTGTCCGAGCACGGAGTGTCCCGTCCCCTGTCTTGAGGATGTAGTTCAGAGCCTTGAGTCTCAGGTCATCCTCGTCATACACGTGCGCCTGTTCCATGATGACACAGGCAGAGTCTGGTGACAGGTCGGCCTCCAGATACCGCAGACACCGCGTCCTTAGACCTTTGATGCCGTATTTTTTGGCCGCATACAACACCAAGGAAACGTTCTCTGGGTCCAGACGAACATCGTCCGTGTACAAATACCTGCGGGAAGTACAGAAACAGTTGAGAGTGTTGTTTAACGATGCAATCAGTATAAAATCATCTCGAGGCCTGATACAACTGGCCTCAGCCGTGCAGGCGATACACACTGACACAATCATACCCAGTATAAACCCGACTCCAACACGACGGTAACTGATATAGTTGCACATTTCAGGTCGCCTTCTGGACAGTGAGTCCATGTGTTCAGTGGAAGAGGCAACTGTGCAGATCTCCCCATGATACAATGTCATCTGTAAACTCACATGTCATTGTTACGTTTTTAAAGAAGAAAATAGTGTTCTATTATTCTGTACTTTGAGCCCACAAAGTGTTTAAAAACAAAATTTCGAATATTCTTTTTTCTAACAAGTCAAGATACTCACACCAGCATATGTCGGAATATATTCGGTTCTATGTCGTCTACCACGATCTCATCGTTGTCCTCCATGATGGCTTCTGATTCGGCAAACATGGTCTGGAACACGTTACTTCGAGATCCAAGCATGTACTTGTGGGCAGGGACGATCTCCTCTGCCTCTCCAACCCGGAAGGTGACGTCACAGTTGAGCTGATTGATCAGCATGTGCAGGTTTGTGTCCGGCAGGTTCTTGTCGGACTGCCAGTCCACCTCCCGCCCCACGGTCATCTCCCACATGGACACGTCATCTCCGGACTTCTTGGGGGTCTTGCCCTTCTTGCTTTGCCCCCGAGTTGCCTTGCTCCCTTTGTTCGCCATGCTAGATGGATGATATGTATGTTACTATGGTATAGAGACAGTGGTATATACTAATTTCCTTTTGTTGTCTACAATGTTTTGTGATAATGTTTGAAAAAGATGTGAACTGTAAGTTAATAATTATTTACTAAGACTTATATAGATTTACTTCCGTTTTACTTCCACATGGACTTAAGAGAGTGTACAGCGGAGTGTACGTTAAAAACCCCATACTGAACACACTGGAGTCAGTTCCTAATGATAGAACTGTTCCTGACATCTTCACAGAAACAAAATTACTAGCGTTGCTCGTAGACCTTAAGAATCATCATGACTGGGAAACGTGTTTTGGTAATGACCAATACTTAAACAAGTTCTAGTAAGCGATCGATCATTAATATCGCATAACAGAAAGCTTCCTAAGGTCAAACACGAGTCAGTTTAAAGTCACCAGCCGAAATTGGGCGTTTAGCAATTAATTAGAGTGTTTTAATCACGTATGCAATGACGTGCTAGCACATACGCAACAGACCTCATTACAGAATGACACGACTCAAACCACTTGTGGCATGTCGTCAAGTGCAAAGTATGAAATTCAATATCATGATTTAATTAGCGTCTTTTGAAACTAAAAAACATGGAAAATGGATGGCTTCCGTAAAATGGATTCTATTACATAAAATAGGTCCAATGGAAAAGTACTCTGCTTCGCGATCGATATAACACAATCGGAGTGAGTGAGTGAGTGAGTGAGTGAGTGAGTGGGTGGGTGGGTCAGTAAGAGGTTGAGTGAGTGAGTGTTTTTGAGGTTTTTGTTCGAAGTGAGTAGTATTCCAGCAATCGGCAGACAATATATAACCACGATCAGATCAAGTAGTCCCTGCCAGTTTACACGTTCAGTTTAGACATGAAGTGGTGGAGGGTAGCCAAGTGTTCTGTTCGGCTGATACATCTTGTAAAGCCCTTTTCGGGTAGCAATCTGTGTGTGGTTTGGCAGAGACGGAGGAAATGTGGGTGGGCAGGAAGGGGTTGTTGTATGAATGTATTGTTCGGTTGTTCACATGGACCGCGATTTGATAATGATCCAATGTCAGCCACCAGTCTTCATTACTGCACAAATATATTTCCTTTCTGGTAGGATTATACCCGGGAAGATCCGGGTTAGAATTGATCTTCAGTAACCCATGCTTGTCGTAAGAGGCGACTAACGGGATCGGGTGGTCAGGCTCGCTGACTTGGTTGACACATGTCATCGGTTCCCAATTGCGCAGATTGATGCTCATGCTGTTGATCACTGGATTGTTTGGTCCAGACTCGATTATTTACAGACCGCCGCCATATAGCTGGAATATTGCTGAGTGCGGCGTAAAACTAAGCTCACTCACTCACTCTGGTCGGATGAAATACTTGAGTGATGACATGACACGTATTTTATGAAACTTCGCTGACTTTGTTAGACACTTGACTCAGACTAAGTACAGAAAATTAATGATTATTAGCGACCATGTTCAACTGAGTGAGGCGAAATGAATGCATCACTTCTACAGAACATAAGTATACAGATATGAAATACATCCGAAATAGCGTGGACAGCAATCTCGATCACACATAGGATTACCTCCCTTTGATAAATGACTTCAGGTGACTGTGAGGTTGAACAGTGTGTAAATGTTATAATATTATCATTTACCCACGAAGCTACATTTTGTGGCTCGGTATTTTGGTCTTGGTTACGATTAAAGAAAGTAAAACAGAGGTGTTTGAAATTCTTTCATATAGTTGATATATTAACTTTCAGCTCATGATTGATTCATATAATACTAAGATACCCAACACCAACTACTTTTATTCAACGATGAGACCAAACGTAGGCAATTCCCTAGAATTATTGTTCAAATTAGAGAAGTATATATCTCCTTATCCCCAATAAGCTCCACTTGCTCATAGGCAGACCCAGTGAAATAGTTGTAACTGTAACCCTCAGTACAGAAACCCAGCTGGAATATTGCTGAGTGCGGCGTAAAACTAAACTACTGTAACCCTCAGTACAGAAACCCAGCTGGAATATTGCTGAGTGCGGCGTAAAACTAAACTCACTCACTCACTCAGTTCAGAAACTGTACATATCTCCAACACTGAATCATGAAAACGGAACTTACATACAAGTGCTTCCCCAAATAACGAAACATGTAAACAAATATATCAATTGGTGAATCCGATGAATACCGCTTCTTAAAGTACGCTAAACTACATACAACATCCTTGTGTCGAACCCGTGGGAAAAGTTCAAGTTATCCAGGATTCGAAACGACCAAGGGAGCATATTTTCTAAAACCAAAGATCCTGTTATGAGATATTATTACCAGGTGAGAAGGCCCATACTGCAGGAATGGGTAACACGTTATGGTCTTGGCTCACATATTTCAGCAGGCTGCTATACGACAATGGCCACTCGACTTTCTACTATTACCGCTACGATTCAAAAGTAACAAACCCCCAATATTCTCCTATCACATACATTATATAGCTATGGGGTGTTTTGAATATCTCTACACTACTGCAATATATACGCACACGAGTTTACCCCTGTTTACAGGAACAAGGGTCTAGTTGGGCTTGTATGTACTTTCAACTCTTTGTTCAGTATTATATAAAACATATAGTTCGATAACAATCACATAAACTCAATTTTGGCTTACCTGGTAAATCAGTCAAACACCCGTCGATAATGCATGATTTTAAGAAAAATGTGATATAGGTTTTCGCCTTTTCTAGATTTCAGGACCACAAACAAGTTCATATGCAGTTACCTCCCTTGCTGCACGAGAAAATCAGTACAAGACCCTTTGACAGTGGGGATTTGTGATTATTCAGGTTGTGGGAACACCGAACGGAGATTTCTGAAGTTGTTTATTATTTGTAGATGGTCCTTCCAAACACACGCTTGCCTCATAAATGACAAGGACTATTCATGAGGGTATTACTACCACTGAAAGGAACTCTTGCCACACAATGAGAATCCGTTTAATACCCGTCAGTATTGATCGAACAAAGGCTGTGAATGTTATTCAGCGCCAGTAGTCCGTTCACTATTCATGTATACAATGTATGGTGTTTGCAATGTTAACAACAAAACGCACATATATTCATGTCAATTCTGCACAGCTTTTGAACATGTGCGTCTCCGAACAGACTTGCATTTAGCTCAGGCAGAGAAAGTTGGCATATTGTGTACAAATGAGTTTGTATATACTAGTACACAGTCGTTCGTCTGTGAGTGGGTGAGTGAGTGAGTTTAGAATAATGGCGCTCGAACAATATGTAAGTCAGCTTCAAGAACGCGAAAGGAGGTGATACCAGATTGTCCACAGATATATATGTTTTCCTCAGGCTATATTCTCCATGTAATGAGTGAGTGAGTGAGTGAGTTGGGTTTTACGCCGCACTCAGCAATATTCCAGCTATATGGCGGCGGTCTGTAAATAATCGAGTCTGGACCAGACCATCCAGTGATCATATGAATGTATGCTCCTCATCTCAGGGTGTGTGTACGTGTCCATATGGGGAGATAGTACAAAGTCAGAGTTTGTTTGCAACAATACTGTTTAGCTTCACATTTAGTACAAGGAAACAAAATGTGTCCAGTTTCATTCATTCTTTCATTTTTAACTGGCCAACCATGTTTTCCTTGGATGAAAATGTCTTGAATTCGGGATATCCGTTCGATCCCACGCTTTGGCATATCGATCGAAAATCGATATTAGCGTCTGCACTTCCAGTGACTGTTTGCGGCGTTGGGGCTGACGACAAAGACGACGCAGCCGTGGCAAGCTAACGCCGATAGAATACTGTCGAGAAAATATATTCTGGCTGAAGGGATAGGGGTGGGATATGGTGTTGCTATAAACTTGTACCCAAAACGTTGTCAGGACAACAGCAATAAGTAGAAACACAGAAGCACTATATCACCACTAAGTAGACATACAGTAGCAGTATATCGGCCATAAGTAGAAACACAGTAGCAGTATATCGGCCATAAGTAGACATACCGTAGCAGTATATCGGCCATAAGTAGACATACAGTAGCAGTATATCGGCCATAAGTAGACACACAGTAGCAGTATATCGGCCATAAGTAGACACACAGTAGCAGTATATCGGCCATAAGTAGACACACAGTAGCAGTATATCGGCAGTAAGTAGACACACAGTAGCAGTATATCGGCCATAAGTAGAAACACAGTAGCAGTATATCGGCCATAAGTAGACATACAGTAGCAGTATATCGGCATAAGTAGACACACAGTAGCAGTATATCGGCCATAAGTAGAAACACAGTAGCAGTATATCGGCCATAAGTAGACACACAGTAGCAGTATATCGGCCATAAGTAGAAACACAGTAGCAGTATATCGGCCATAAGTAGAAACACAGTAGCAGTATATCGGCCATAAGTAGAAACACAGTAGCAGTATATCGGCCATAAGTAGACATACAGTAGCAGTATATCGGCCATAAGTAGACACACAGTAGCAGTATATCGGCCATAAGTAGAAACACAGTAGCAGTATATCGGCCATAAGTAGAAACACAGTAGCAGTATATCGGCAATAAGTAGACATACAGTAGCAGTAGGCAATAAGTATATCGTAGCAGTATATCGGCAGTAGAGACACACAGTAGCAGTATATCGGCAGTAAGTAGACACACAGTAGCAGTATATCGGCCATAAGTAGACACACAGTAGCAGTATATCGGCCATAAGTAGAAACACACAGTAGCAGTATATCGGCCATAAGTAGACATACAGTAGCAGTATATCGGCCATAAGTAGAAACACAGTAGCAGTATATCGGCAGTAAGTAGACATACAGTAGCAGTATATCGGCAATAGGTAGACACACAGAAGCAGTATATCGGCAGTAAGTAGACATACAGTAGCAGTATATCGGCAATAAGTAGACACACAGTAGCAGTATATCGGCAATAGGTAGACACACAGAAGCAGTATATCGGCAGTAAGTAGACATACAGTAGCAGTATATCGGCAATAAGTAGACACACAGAAGCAGTATATCGGCAATAAGTAGACACACAGAAGCAGTATATCGGTAGTAAGTAGACACACAGTAGCAGTATATGGGCAGTAAGTAGACACACGGTAGCAGTATATGGGCAGTAAGTAGAAACACAGTAGTAGTATATCGGCAGTAAGTAGACACACAGTAGGAGTATATCGGCCATAAGTAGACACACAGTAGCAGTATATGGGTAGTAAGTAGACACAGTAGCAGTATATCGGCGGTAAGTAGAAACACAGAAGCAGGTATATCGGCAGTAGACACACAGTAGCAGTATATCGGCAATAAGTAGACACACAGTAGCAGTATATCGGCAATAAGTAGACACACAGTAGCAGTATATCGGCAGTAAGTAGACACACAGTAGCAGTATATCGGCAGTAAGTAGACACAGAGTAGCAGTATATCGGCAATAAGTGGACACAGAGTAGCAGTATATCGGCAGTAAGTAGACACACAGAAGAAGAATATCGGCGGTAAGTAGACACACAGAAGAAGAATAACGGCAGTAAGTAGACACACAGTAGCGGTATATCGGCAATAAGCAGACATACAGTAGCAGTATATCGGCAGTAAGTAGACACACAGTAGCAGTATATCGGCAGTAAGTAGACACACAGTAGCGGTATATCGGCAGTAAGTAGACACACAGTAGCGGTATATCGGCAGTAAGTAGACACACAGTAGCAGTATATCGGCAGTAAGTAGACACACAGTAGCAGTATATCGGCAGTAAGTAGACACACAGTAGCAGTATATCGGCAATAAGTCGACACAGAGTAGCAGTATATCGGCAGTAAGTAGACACACAGAAGAAGAATATCGGCAGTAAGTAGACACACAGAAGAAGAATATCGGCAATAAGTCGACACAGAGTAGCAGTATATCGGCAGTAAGTAGACACACAGTAGCGGTATATCGGCAATAAGTCGACACAGAGTAGCAGTATATCGACACAGAGTAGCAGCAGTAAGTAGACACACAGAAGAAGAATATCGGCAGTAAGTAGACACACAGAAGAAGAATATCGGCAATAAGTCGACACAGAGTAGCAGTATATCGGCAGTAAGTAGACACACAGTAGCGGTATATCGGCAATAAGTCGACACAGAGTAGCAGTATATCGGCAATAAGTAGACACACAGTAGCGGTATATCGGCAATAAGAAAAGAGGGAAAGCAGGGAAATGTGTGTTATGCATGTATAAAGTAATGATATGGGCAGTACATTGGTATATAGTAGAAACAGTAGCAGTATATCTGGAAGAACAGTGGCAGTATATGGGGGCATTCACACGGTATTACGGGAATACGTTATGTCAGTATACAGGGGTGAAATACACACGTGATGGCAGTATACAGGGATGAAAAACACACAGGAGGGCGGGCAATATACCGGGATCACATACACACACGATGGCAGTATACCAGGATCACATACACACATGATGGCAGTATACCGGTATAACATCCACACATGATGGCAGTATACCAGGATAACATACACACATGATGACAGTATATCGCGATGAAAAACACACAGGACGGCAGTATACCGGGACCACATACACACATGATGGCAGTATACCGGTATAACATCCACACATGATGGCAGTATACCAGGATAACATACACACATGATGACAGTATACCGGGATAACATACACACATGATGGCAGTATACCGGGATAACATACACACATGATGGCAGTATACCAGGATAACATACACACATGATGGCAGTATACCGGTATAACATCCACACATGATGGCAGTATACCGGGATAACATACACACATGATGGCAGTATACCGGGATAACATACACACATGATGGCGGTATATCATGATAACATACACACATGATGGCAGTATACCAGGATAACATACACACATGATGGCAGTATACCGGGATAACATACACACATGATGGCAGTATACCGGGATAACATACACACATGATGGCAGTATACCGGGATAACATACACACATGATGGCAGTATACCATGATAACATACACACATGATGGCAGTATACTGGGATAACATACACACATGATGGCAGTATACCGGGATAACATACACACATGATGGCAGTATACCGGGATAACATACACACATGATGGCAGTATACCAGGATAACATACACACATGATGGCAGTATACCGGGATAACATACTACACATGATGGCGGTATACCAGGATAACATACACACATGATGGCGGTATATCATGATAACAAACAAACATGATGGCAGTATACTGGGATAACATACACACATGATGGCAGTATACCGGGATAACATACACACATGATGGCAGTATACCGGGATAACATACACACATGATGGCAGTATACTGGGATAACATACACACATGATGGCAGTATACCAGGATAACATACACACATGATGGCAGTATACCAGGATAACATACACACATGATGGCAGTATACCGGGATAACATACACACATGATGGCAGTATACCGGGATTACATACACACATGATGGCAGTATACCGGGATCACATACACACATGATGGCAGTATACCGGGATTACATACACACATGATGGCAGTATACCAGGATAATGTACACACATGATGGCAGTATACCGGGATTACATACACGGATGATGGCAGTATACCAGGATCACATACACACATGATGGCAGTATACCAGGATCACATACACACATGATGGCAGTATACCGGGATTACATACACACATGATGGCAGTATACCGGGATAACATACACACATGATGGCAGTATACCGGATGTTTACACACATGATGGCAGTATACCGGGATCTCATACACACATGATGGTAGTATACTAGGATGACATACACACATGATGGCAGAATACCGGGATCACATACATGATGGCAGTATACCAGGATAACATACACACATGATGGCTGTATACCGGGATTACATACACACATGATGGCAGTATACCGGGATCACATACACACATGATGGCAGTATACCGGGATTACATACACGGATGATGGCAGTATACCGGGATTACATACACATGAGTGGCAGTATACCGGGATCACATACACACATGATGGCAGTATACCGGGATTACATACACACATAGTGGCAGTATACCGGGATCACATACACACATGATGGCAGTATACCAGGATCATACACACATAATGGCAGTATACCGGGATCACATGCACACATGATGGCAGTATACCGGGATTACATACACATATGACGGCAGTATACTGGGATAACGTACACACATGACGGCAGTATACAGGGATAACATACACACATGATGGCAGTATACCGGGATTACATACACACATGATGGCAGTATACCGGGATAACATACACACATGATGGCAGTATACCGGGATTACATACACACATAGTGGCAGTATACCAGGATTACATACACGGATGATGGCAGTATACCGGGCTAACATACACACATGATGGCAGTATACCGGGATCACATACACACATAGATGGCAGTATACCAGGATCACATACACACATGATGACAGTGTACCGGAATTACATACACACATGATGGCAGTATACCAGGATAATGTACACACATGATGGCAGTATACCGGGATTACATACACGGATGATGGCAGTATACCAGGATAATATACACACATGATGGCAGTATACCGGGATTACATACACGGATGATGGCAGTATACCGGGATCACATACACATATGATGGCAGTATACCGGGATTACATACACACATTGTGGCAGTATACCAGGATCACATACACGGATGATGGCAGTATACCGGGATTACATACACGGATGATGGCAGTATACCAGGATCACATACACACATGATGGCAGTTTACAAGGATCACATACACACATGATGGCAGTATACCGGGATTACATACTCGGATGATGGCAGTATACCGGGATAACATACACACATGATGGCAGTATACCAGGATAATGTACACACATGATGGTAGTATACCAGGATTACATACACATGATGGCAGTATACCTGGATCACATACACATATGATGGCAGTATACCGGGATTACATACACACATGTGGCAGTATACCGGGATAATATACACACATGATGGCAGTATACCGGGATTACATACGCACATAGTGGCAGTATACCAGGATCACATACACACATGATGGCAGTATACCAGGATAATGTACACACATGATGGCAGTATACCGGGATTACATACACACATGATGGCAGTATACCGGGATTACATACACACATGATGGCAGTATACCAGGATAATGTACTAACATGATGGCAGTATACCGGGATTACATACACACATGATGGCAGTATACCAGGATAATGTACACACATGATGGCAGTATACCGGGATTACATACACGGATGATGGCAGTATACCGGGATCACATACACACATGATGGCAGTATACCGGGGCATATACATACATACACACATGATGGCAGTATACTGGGATACATACACACATGATGGCGGTATACTGGGATCAATGATACACACATGATGGCAGTATACCGGGATCACATACACATGATGATATACCGCATATACCAGGATACATAACATACACACATGATGGCAGTATACCGGGATGACAGTATACTGGGATGACACACACATGATGGCAGTATACTGGGATGAAATACACACATAATGGCAGTATACTGTGATCACATACACACATGATGGCAGTGTACTGGGATAACATACACACAGGACGGCAGTATACCAGGATTACATACACACATGATGACAGTATACTGGGATAACATACACACATGATGGCAGTATACCGGGTGACATACACATATGATAGCAGTATACTGGGATGACATACACACATGATGGCAGTATACCGGGATTACATACACACAGGATGGCAGTATACCGGGATCACATACACACATGATGGCAGTATACCGGGATTACATGCACACATGATGGCAGTATACCCTTTATGACATACACACATGATGGCAGTATACCTGTTTAACATGTTCACATTGTGGCAGTAAATATGGACAAGAGCGTGGTCAAGGACGATACTTGGACAATAATCTTAAAAATCATCTTTCACTGAATAAACTGAACCCCAGTATAAACAGTCTCCAAACTGTTGGTCTCTGCTTTCAAAATTGCTATCAATTCTGTTTCTGATACTAGGGAAGCAGTGTGTGCTTCATCACATCACATCTATGTTGTTTAAGACACAAGCCAGACAAGAACATAATAGAGACACAAGATAATGCCGAAACTATTGATCTTTGTGGAGATTAATACAAATCCGTGCTTTGCACAGCCGTCCCACAATGCCCGTCATGTGAGCGCCAGATCTGGTCATGTGATTTTACAAGTTCTCCCACTTCCGGGCTAGACTTGGTTGAGTTAGCGGCATCCTTGTGCGTGGTGGTGAGTAGAATTCTCTTATCTCGGTGCAATGTCTGTGTGCATGCATTCATTAGGAAATAAACACGTGCCTTCAACGACGATATCACTTGTAGATGTGGATCATACTTGAAGAGAATCTATAATCAGGGCAAGAAAACAATGTCATTTTATCCGGATATGACCTAAATGTATTTCCGATTGTTTGAATATGGTTAGTTGACTTCATGCCAGCCGTTGATATATATGAAATTTTACTTTTCTTACATTTTAAATCAGATGGGATATTTTTCCATTCAAGAAGCACGATGAAGTATTTTATGAAATCTTTGTTTCTCTTTACGATGCCTGGCTAATATGGTATTGATTTCAGTGTGGAAATAGAGGCAGCATTCCCTCGCCGCCGGTGTTCGCTTGATATTCTTATAATGATGGACTTTGACTTCCTAGCCTCTGTAGCTCACGTTGGCCACGACACAGCCGAATCAATACGTAATAAGGGCTAATGGATGTTAACGCCGTGCCCGGTAATCGGTATAGACAGGTGCGGATCGATGGTGGCGTTAAGCTGGGACGTAAAGTGTTGTCATGGTGATATGAGAGTATTGATTGTTTGCCTCGCGGGTAAGCGTGTTGCGTTGTTGAAGAAGAGATGCGTGCATATATTTCATGGGCTCTACATGAGACAGGATATGAATCATTTCATGTGGATAGTGATTAATTGACGTTAAACACCTGCATTGGAGCATTTGATAAATGATTACATACTTGTTATGCTGTTATGCGTATCTATTAATTATTGATATATCAATTTATGTGTTACCAACGTCTTATAGGAACTTTACATCTCTAAGCGTCATGTAACTTGAATTGGGATGAAAATATAGCTATGGTGAAGGGCATTTCACAAAACAGAATGGAAAAATAATGCACATGATATCTGTAGTGCGTAGAGAACATGTATATTGAGTGTGACATATCTTTGTATTATGTGTGGCTATAATACTGGTAATTGAAACTTGCCATTTCACCCGTATAAGAGGACATGCATTCGTTGTCCTGATACCTCGGGTATCTCCGTCAGGGTCCGTTCGGTCCGATTGCGGGTTTTATGTGTCGCAGCGCCATATCCATGTGTGTGGATTTCACGAAAGGGAGGTGTTGGGGTGCATGTACATCGGGTACATCGGGGTGATCGGGTACATCTGGGAATGTGATAAAGCACAATATTTAACTCATTTAGTGAAGTATTTTCAGGAATACTAAACAGAAATGCCAAATCATGAAACACGCTCCTGTATCAAAACCCCACCTTCACCATACCCCTGATAGAGCAACTCCTGCACAAGGCCATAAAACCGATTTTGTATTTACATGGACAATGAGAGCATACATAAGTATCGATTCCTGTCTGATATAATATTGTAATTGATGTAACCATTCAGACTTCCAGATGAGGATGTGTCATGGCGGTACAATCAGGCGGTGTTGACAACTGGCAAGCCCGCTGTGACCTCGCCCAGAGTAATCTCCACATGTTGACCAATGAGATCTCGTGTGACGTTGTGCTGCGGGTGGGCCACGACAAGGCGGTGTTCCGCGCCCACCAGTACGTGCTGATCAGTCGGAGCTGTGTCTTCAATGCCATGATCTGCGGCAATCTCAGGCCGCAGCATGACGGGCCCATTGAGATCCCAGACATCGAAGCGGACATCTTCGAGGAGTTCTTGAAGTAAGAGTAGTTTATGAAAGTCGTATTGTCCTCATGAAAGTCATATCGTCCTCACTTTAACATGCGTATGTACTTAAAGCGTGTTTGAATCTAAGATCATGGGTTCAAATCGAGGATACGCTTGTGACAGTATGGCTCTACACAATTATCCGTCCTCTTGGGTCTCATCGGCCTTATAAACGCCTCACAAACCCTTCTCACTTCTGACTTTCTAGCGACATTAAACAAACCATGACACACCTGAATTATACTTCCAACTCCATCCAAATTAATTAGAATTCGATTGTATAAATTATTGGGATAACTTCAACTGAGATAATCAGGATATAATAAATTCAGTTTCTTTCCTCCACTGTGCCTCTGTCGTGATTCAAACTAGGATGTGGCGAGCCTAAATTATGACCTGTAAACTTCTGTAATGTCTGACACCACTGAACACCTTCTGACGTCCATTCATGTCTCAAACCACTCAGTACTTGCAGATGTCATCTAATGTTTGAATTAGATTGATGCCTTCAACTGGTTGTAACAGTGCTAAGAGATTATATGTTATGAATATATCAAGAATATCCTTTTCACTTCATTTCCATATTCGACTTCCTGAAGGACGATCGTATTTACATCTTACTTCTGTAAAGCCCCAGTGTGCCATAATGGAGTCTTAATTAGAACTGACTGATAATACAGTAACTGTAAAATACCATGGTCTCTCCAGCGTTAGTCATGTTGATTCAATAAAGTGTTTATGAGCAGGATCCTGTCTTGCCACGCTGTCCTCAATGTACCTTGTTGTAATCACCAGGTTTATGTACACCAACGACGCTGCCATCACCTCCGACAACGTCACAGGCCTCCTGTACAGCTCCAAGAAGTATGCCGTGCAGCTCCTTGAAGATAAATGTCTCAAGTACCTGGAGGACTCGCTCACCTCCGAAAATGTTTGCGCCATCTTGGAACAGGCTCACATCTACGACGAGGAAGGCCTGTACGAGAAGGCCCTGAAGGCTGCCAAGTGTTCAGGGAACAGGACTCTCAAATCTGCAGGCTTCACGGAGCTGTGTAAGGAATGCTTCAACAAGATCATTCTAGCTGACGACCTTAGCGCTGCGGAGGAGTCCGTGTTTACTGCTGCCATCTCCTGGGCAAAAGAAGAGTGTAGGCGCCAGGTAAAGTTGATAACACCCGATTCAGTGCGCAGCATCCTCGGACAGGCTTTGTATCACATCCGCTTCCCGTTGATGGAACCTCGGTTCTTCGTACAACACGTACGTCCAGAAAACCTTTTAACAGACCAAGAAGCATTAGAGCTATTTGAATATTACATTTGCCCCGAGAAGGGGATTCAGACATTCATTGTAAAGAGAAGGAAAAGTCAGATCATAGTTTCCAAAGACAAACTAATCCGTGTTCAGAGGTTTTCAGGAACTGACTTTCCGTGGTCATGGACATGCAGTGGTGGCGGGGATGACTCCATTCGGTTCTCGGCTAGTCATGACGTCATTCTGGTAGGATTCATGTTATACGGCCCATTTACTCAGCAAGCGGAGGAGAACCAAGTGGAATACTCGGTCCAAGCCCGAATATTTGACCAACGCGACTGCCCGATGGCCCAGTCCCAGGTGGACACGGTGATGGAGGTCAGTTACCATGATAAATACAACGTAGTCATGTTCCAGGAAAGAGTGGACATTCACAGAAATCAGATCTACACACTGGTGGTTAACATCAAGGGCCGGAACACGCTGAAGGGCATTGGGGGAATGAAGAGGGCTGAAAGGGGAGGCGTGATGTGGACATTTATGGACTCGGACAAGAGTACAAGGGGAACTAACTCTTCCAAAGGCCAAATACCAGGTTTAGTGTACTGCATGCCCACCGTAGAAACCGAAGATGACTATAGAAATTAGAATGAGTGAGATGATGCTGCCATACGTTGCAATCAGCAATATATGAATAGTCGAGTCCAGTCCAGAAAACTCGTGTTTGATAGCAAAGGCACAGTCAGCATTGGTCATCAAACCATTGGACATGGTTGTTACCTATTGCTAGTTGCAGCTGGCTCTGGTAATGGGAAGGAGATCAGAGTAACTGAAGAGCAACTAAAATCTGCTCTGCTGGATTATACACCGTTTTACACACACTTGTTTTTCATTCAAAGTCCTGGCACACATGTTTGATTATTTTCGTTTCTGTTAATTGTTTGACATGAGTGGTTCGAGTTAGAAATTGGCTCTTTCATGCTCCCTTATAGAAAGCGTTGTACCCATTGCCAGTCATTGACTGTCAGCTCTTAAACATTTTATTGTGCACAATGTATGTGGTTTTTTTCAGTTTGACAGATTCTCTGCAAGGGATGGACTTGGATCCGTCACTGCCAGCTCCATCCATGTTATCAGACCGTTATCTGTCCTGTTTGTTTCATGTTATCAGATTGTTATCTGTCTGGTTTGTTTCATGTTATCAGATTGTTATCTGTCCTGTTTGTTTCATGTTATCAGACTGTTATCTGTCCTGTTTGTTTCATGTTATCAGATTGTTATCTGTCTGGTTTGTTTCATGTTATCAGATTGTTATCTGTCCTGTTTGTTTCATGTTATCAGACTGTTATCTGTCCTGTTTGTTTCATGTTATCAGACTGTTATCTGTCCTGTTTGTTTTATGTTATCAGATTGTTATCTGTACTGTTTGTTTTATGTTATCAGATTGTTATCTGTACTGTTTGTTTCATGTTATCATATTGTTATCTATTTTGTTTGTTTCATGGGTTTTTATTGTTAGTCGTTTTTGTTTTAAAGCAATAGGTACGAAAGCAGTATAGTGTTATGTAATCTTTTGAAATGATAATATTTTTTTCAGGGGTCAACCGTATAAAATAGGCCAAACATGCTCATCGCACAACAGAGGTATGACAATACAGAAATTTCACGATACGATACGTATCGCGATATCTTGGAATGATACGATTCGATTCGATGCATATCACGATATGCTATCTTTAGTTATGTTCTTTAAAAAAGTATATTTGATAGCAAGTAACAGTGTAAAGTTCGACATAATCGTCAATTTCTAGTGCAAATTCACAACTTTAAGGTCAACGATACATATCACGATACGAAAATAAGTATCGATATATTTATTGTCAGATAAAGTATCACGATTATCGATACTACGATATATTGCCACAGCTCTATCGCACAATGGTTTTCACAATGTTTGTTACCACCTGAGGAAATATATTACTTTCAAGTACTTACTGGAATTTTTAGATTTTTGTTCAAAACTATTCCAGTCATTCCTCTTGGGTCCCTAAGTATTACACCTGTGAGAGAATGTATGACGTCCAAGTTCCCTGCTCTGACAAGAATCGTCTTCCCACCTGCATGATGAAGCATCGCCTGTTGCTCTCTACAATGATATATTCCGCTACAAAGTGATACATGTTTTAATCGGACAAGACTTTCTATTGCCCGTGGGAACAACTGCCGTTTATGTTTTGCCTCCTAAATGACATTTCAGAATTTTCTTTTGTTCGGTTTTATATTTTGAATTGATTTACTTGTAGTCATTTGATACAGCTTTTGAGAAATACTGATTCATTTTATGAATAAAGTCGCCAGTTTATTTCTGCCGTGACATCACAGAAAAAATCAATCAATCAATACGATGTTACTCTTTGTGTTTGTTATTTGCAAAAGCTCGAAGTCGCATGTCCAATATACCTCACTCTGAGCAAATATCTATTCTCACCTGGTATATTTCAGTGGTTGATGAGAGGTAACAGTATATCCTTGTGATATTTACATTTGTCAGCATCTTACCTAACATGTGTTAAATTATTTAGTTATCACCCAGACGACGTTGTCGTGCTTGTTTATGTGTTTCACGAAGATGCGTGCTTTTTGAAAATGTGGTATATCTATCATGTGATATCAGAAAACCCCTTCTATTTTAATAAAGATTCTAAATGTATGTTTTTGTGTGTGGTTTTCCTATTGTTCACGATGTTGAATCAGACAATGTCACGCGTACGTTCATCTGAGTTGCTTCCCTTTGGCATGACAGGAGCTTATATTTCCTCGAATCTAAAATTCGCACTGATTAAGCATCACGCCATGCTCTGGAGTGCCAAAATGGCCAAGATCTAGTAACTGAATCGCTTTCTTCAAACATATTTGACACGTCTTCAGGTATCTTAATTAGTGTTCGAAGTAGGTGCTGAACTTAACTCACTCACCCAATCACCTGTTCACAAAACCAGACCTTAAGTCTACCCCATTAAGACATTTTAAGTCTAAACATAACGTACTCACTCATGAGATAAAAGCAACGAATCACTGACATTCATTTGGCAAGTATCTTGATCGTTTCCTGAGCATACTTTTCATGATAAATTTGTCTTGATAAAACTAAACAATACCTCTTGCATGATCCTAGGTTTGATGTCATCGTCGAATACTCGTGGCAATAGCACTGTGTTGTACACATGTGGAGGCGGTGCGCAGCACACTGAAGGAAGCGCCACACAAATACTCCCACACAACAGCGCACATCCAAGGCATCGCTTTCGGTGAAGTTACCTGAAGAGTGAGTGAGTGAGTATGGTTTTACGCCGCTTTGAGCAATATTCCAGCAATATCGCGGCGGGGGACACCAGAAATGGGTTTCACACATTGTACCCATGTGGGGAATCGAACCCGGGTCTTTGGCGTGACGAGCGAACGCTTTAACCACTAGGCTACCCCACCGCCCCAGTTACCTGAAGAATAGATGTATGTTGAAGTGAAGGAATCGGGACGTCTCTAAGGGGCATCTAGCGCTATGCAGCACTAAGCTCAATGTTATACAAGTTTTACCAAGATGACAAATCTACAATTTTAGGGCTTTTGCTCGGCATGTCTCATCTTTCTAGGCGCTAGAGCCTCCAACATTCGTTCTGATTATGACTATGAGATTTGGTTTTAGTATCACGATGTCTGTGCTGATATGGTCACAACGTTACAACAGACTGTGTTTCAGTGTTACACAGACTGCCCTGGTATCTTCAACTCCACGTCCCTCTCTGACACAACAACTCACACATTTCTGTAGTCTAACCTAAAGTCACTGAAATATTATTTGAAATGACAATACGGAGCATTTCCCAGGGAATATATTAGGAAACATAGCCGAGAACCTCTGAACAGTAAACTGGGTAAATGTAATATTGTATATGTGGTTCCTGGAACCGCCTGTAACAGCGCATCCTCGAAATCTCCAGGGTATACGTTCTCATAACCCTCCACTATATCGGAACGTATACCCAGGAGTTATCGAGGATGGTAACAGCGAGATTAACGTTTAATCTACAGTGAAGCAAGGGCATCTCAGCCTCGTAGAGTCTGTCTCTGAAGAGAAACGGCTGTTATAAAGATGTGTAACTGGTAGACATCACAACTGCGTTTACTGTGTCATGTTCAGTCCTCTCCCTCACGTTCAGTCCTCTGTGTCATGTTCAGTCCTCCCTCTCTGTCATTTTGGTGGTATATTAATAGTGGCGTTATAGCTGCATATATACAGTTCTGGTATAGAGCGATACTAAAATAGTGGCCTTATAGCTGCATATTAACAGTGCTGGTATAGCACTATACTAAAATAGTACCCGTGAAGGTCCAGGTTAGAATAAACCTTCAGTAACCCATGCTTGTCGTAAGAGGCGACTAACGGGATCGGGTGGTCAGGCTCGCTGGCTTGGTTGACACATGTCATAGGTTCCCAATTGCGCAGATCGATGCTCATGCTGTTGATCACTGGATTGTCTGGTCCAGACTCGATTACTTACAGACCGCCGCCATATATCTGGGATATTGCTGAGTGCGGCGTAAAACTAAGCTCACTCGCACACTCACTAAAAAGTGGCGTTAGAGCTGCATATGGACAGTGCTGGTTTTGAACTTTACTAAAATAGTGGCGTTAGAGCTGCATATGAACAGTGCTGGTATAGAGCTATACTAAAATAGTGGCGTTACATTTGCGTATGGACAGTGCTGGTATAGAGCTATACTGAAATAGTGGCGTTACACCTGCATATGGACAGTGCTGGTTTTGAACTTTACTAAAATAGTGGCGTTAGAGCTACATATGGACAGTCCTCGTATAGAGCTACACTAAAATAGTGGCGTCAGAGCTGCACATGGACAGTGCTGATATTGAACTATACTAAAATAGTGGTGTTATAACTGCATATGGACAGTGCTGGTATAGAGCTATACTAAAATAGTGGCGTTAGAGCTACATATGGACAGTCCTCGTATAGAGCTACAGTAAAATAGTGACGTCAGAGCTGCACATGGACAGTGCTGATATTGAACTATACTAAAATAGTGGTGTTATAACTGCATATGGACAGTGCTGGTATAGAGCTATACTAAAATAGTGGCGTTAGAGCTACATATGGACAGTCCTCGTATAGAGCTACACTAAAACAGTGGCGTCAGAGCTGCATATGGACAGTCCTCGTATAGAGCTACACTAAAATAGTGGCGTCAGAGCTGCATATGGACAGTGCTGGTATTGAACTGTGCTACAATAAATTATTGTGTTATAGCTGCATATGAATAGTTGTGTTAGAGCTACGTATACATTATTGTGTTATAGCTGCATATGAATAGTTGTGTTAGAGCTACGTATAAATTATTGTGTTATAGCTGCATATGAATAGTTTTGTCAAAGCTGCGTGTTAATGGTTGTGTTGTGGCTACTTGTGCTGAAGTTAAACCTCTTTCAAATCCACAGCGCCACAGGTTCCCCGCCGTCAATCATGACTGACACTGGCGGTAAATATCATCAGCGAATGCACAGCGTTATCCCCACCCCGAGGGACGTGAAACAGATAGGCCTGCTCCCAACCCTGATAGTGTATACGTGACCAGTCAGTCCTGTCACTCTGGGGAATGACAAGTGACTTTCAGACAAATGTGACTGCTCCTCGAGTTTCCACATTGCCATGCTCCTGGGCATCTGTGTTCGGTGACTTTCCTACCCATGGGCACAGCCTGCAAACACCGCGATTAATGGAAGAATTCAATTTGTACAGAATCACTGGTTATGTCATGGAACCATCCGGCGTGGAATCCTGTAGAATATGATAGTCACAGATTTGGCAATTATAGTCTGTCAACAATACTGGATTACAATATAGTCATACCTTGTTGTTGCAAGGTAGCCAGTTCCAACGGTATGGGGTCGTGTGTGTCTCTGTCAGGAACGCGGTGTACTGTGAGTCAGTGGTACTTCCTTTTGGAAACCCGAATGTAGATTTGGATGTTGTTGTTTTTGTTTTGTTTGTTTTCTATTTGCTGATTAAAGTTATATACGTTCAAAATGGAAGATCCGAGTAACCAGCCATACCCTCAACACCCCATACTTATACACAAACATACAGAATACATACATATACATAAACATGTGTAGCGATATGTTACTTATCCGAAATTGGCGCTCTATCTCCTCTTGTGGCGGTGGGGTAGCCTATTTATCAAAGCGTTGGCTCGTCACGCCGAAGCCCCGGGTTCGATTCTCCACATGGGCACAATGTGTGAAGCTCATTTCTGGTGTGCCCCGCCGTGATATTGCTGAAATATTGCTAAAAGGGCGTAAAACCTAACTCACTCACTCTAACTC